TGCAACTTTGATCAGTTGGCCAAGATTGGTAGTAATAACTGAAACACTTGTTCATTGGGATTTTATCATATCAGCAAAACTAATTAGAGAGAGGTAAGATCAAAAATAATAACTTTCAGATACAAGATCAAGGTGATTTGATGAACTATACCGCCTTCCTACAAACTGAAGACGGGAAGAAAATAGCGCACACCTCAAAAGTTTTCAGTGCATGAAATAATATTTGAGAAAGCATAAAGGCGACACCATAAAAATTACTATTCATAAATCGATTGTAAAATCAAAAACAAAACAAAACCATACAATTTCGAATGTCATTGCTATTTAATATCTCAAGATGACACAGGTAAAAATTCACTGTTACAGGGAGTGTTCACTCTCTATTGTCACATACATCTTAAACACATTATTGTAGGTCATTATATTCACTTTTCGTAATCATATAATTTCAACATTTGGAAAGATTTTATAGATCCTTAAATTGGGTTACCTTTAAAATGTTAATCAGAATAAGAATTAGCTAGAAATTTCTTTAAGAAAATGTATCTATAACGTGTTTACTGTTTTCCTAAAATTAACTCTATTTTTTACTACATTTGTAAAGTAACGACAGTTTTCTCAGTATTAGACATTATAAAGTTAAGCTATATGTAATTTTAAGAAATCGATCATACTATGATATATATATGAAAATAGATTTACTATTAATCAGCTAACTGAACATATCACATCGTCCATAATTATATGGAAGAAATGTCAGCTTCAAGACCTGTTTACGATCATATTATTATATAGCTTTGATTTTATTATCAGTAGAATCCTTAAGTTTTACCCATCCAATATCAAATGAATAAAGAATAAATATTCAAGCAATTGTATGGATCGATTCATTGAAAAAGAAGCTCTTCACTTATAGTCTGCTGAAACGTTGAGTTAATGAAGTACATTTTTTTAAAATCTACCATCCTAATAGCGCAAACGAATTTAAAGCTGTGTAAAGTTCGAATCTCCCTACCTCTCCCTGCATCAGATAAATGATTATAAATTCTCCCTATCACTAAACATAATAGTTAGCATATATGTTAAAACAATTTTATAATTTAGGCTATCTTTCTAGGTCTATTTCAAAATAGTAATGGTGGTTTAGAATTTTTTTTAAAAACCGCCAGTTCACAAATTTCTGAAAAAAATAATCCTCAGTACTAATAGTTATGTTTAACCTGATGTCTATGAATATTAATAATCAAAAGTTGACAGTACATAGATTCTGTTTGAAACAAGTGGTTTCTAATCATTATTTATTTAAAAACTATTGTTTACTGTTTCTGTTGAATGATTCAATCTACTGAGTTGAGATAACAACTTATGATGTATGATGGTTTGTTCTCTCCCACAGTACGTTGTTGATAATAGTGTCCGGCCAATGGATCTGAAGTATTTTGCGTAGACAATTGTTAATAAACACCTGTATTTTCTGGATGATGGCTTTCGTAGTTCTCCAGGTTTCTGCCCCATACAGTAGAACTGTCTTGACATTTGTATTGAAAATCCTTACCTTGGTGTTGGTTGACAGTTGCTTTGAGTTCCAGATGTTCCTCAGTTGTAAATATGCTGCTCTTGCTTTGCCAATCCGCGCTTTCACATCTGCATCAGATCCACCATGTTCATCAATGATGCTGCCGAGATATGTAAAGGTTTTCACATCTTCCAAATCTTCTCAGTCAATTGTGATTGGATTGGTGCATTCTGTGTTGTATCGGAGAATCCTGCTTTTCCCTTTGTGTATATTGAGACCTATTGCTGCTGAGGCTGCTGCCACACTGTTCGTCTTCTCCTGCATTTGTTGTTGCGTTTGGGATAGAAGGGCCAGATCGTCTGCGAAGTCTAGATCATCCAACTGCATCTTAGATGTCCATTGTATCCCGTGCTTCCCTTCAGACGTTGACGTCTTCATGATCCAGTCGATCACCAGGATAAAGAGTAAGGGTGAGAGTAAGCAACCTTGCCTAACACCGGTCTTCACTTCAAACGACTTTGTCAACTGTCCTCCATGCACAATTTTGCAGTGTAATCCATCATATGAGTTCTGTATGATATTGACTATCTTCTGAGGCACGCCGTAGTGTCGAAGAAGTTTCCATAGTGTTGTTCTGTCCACGCTATCAAATGCCTTTTCGTAGTCAATGAAGTTTGATGTAGAGTGATGAATTCCATTCAATTGATCGTTCCACAATGATCCGTAGAGTTGCGATTTGGTCTGTACACGATCTATCCTTACGGAATCCTGCCTGTTGGTCACGAAGTTGGGCGTCTACGCAGTCCTTCATCCTGTTTAACAATACCCTGTTGAAGACTTTTCCGGTATTGAGAGAAGAGTGATGCCCCTGTAGTTATCACACTTGCTGAGATCGCCTTTCTGTGGTATTTTGATCAGAAGTCCTTCTTTCCAGTCTTTTGGTACTTGTTCCTCATCCCAAATCTTATTGAAGAGAATGTGGAGTATCCTTGCAGTTGCCGCTATGGCACTAAAAGCAGACGTAGCGGCAACTGCAAGGATACTCCACATTCTCTTCAATAAGATTTGGGATGAGGAACAAGTACCAACAGACTGGAAAGAAGGACTTTTGATCAAAATACCGAAGAAAGGCGATCTTATGAAACTGTCTGCTTATTCTGAACTGACTGATAATAAGTTATATTTTAAACTTTAAAATTTCCTCGATATATTCCAATGATTCAATCCAAGTTTTCATGACATTGAGATATTATGACAAATCAGCTACAGTTCTCATTGTTTAATACTGTTATCTGATAAGCATTCTGGTTCAATCCTATTTAACTGAAAGAGTTTTTTTGGCATTGACTATTCTTGTTGTTATCATAGAATTAATTGTTAAAATTACCTAAACTTTTCTCAATACTCTACATAGTATATAACGTTCATCGTGAATAAATTAAGAACAATGCTAGGATGTTGCTGACTCAAGAATGTGTCAAATTCAGTATACAACTTGTATTCAGATAATAAACCTAAGTAATAAGCTGAAATACATGTGGTTAACTGTTAAAACTTATGGACAACATTATAACCAATAGGTTAAGCATAGCCTTATGTCATTATGAACTACGATTTAATCATACAAGTGAAAACAAGCAAGTAACAGTTATATATAATTTGTAAATTCATTAAGTAACTAATATGTACATGTCATGCAACTTTGTTTAAAAAGGATAAAATGGACACCTAAAGGTTTGTTCGAATACATCGAAAAGATTCTACACAAATATGAATAAAACAATAATAATTTGTATTGCATATTAATTACAAAATATATAGCATAACGTTTATGCAACATATAATGATTGATCAGTTTATAATAGGCATAATAACTAACGAGGATAAACTTGGCTTTTGTGTTGAAAAATAATTCTGTGTTTTTTTTCAGATATATTTTTAAAGTAACCAGTATGTCTAATTTCGTGCTGAACACTTTTATGTACAGTTAGACTTTGCTTAAATGATCTCCCATCTCACACTTCTCAATACTAAACTTTGACTAGCAAACATTTTCTTATCATACTGTGTAGCAGAAATATATTTTAGATATTCCCTATTTACCATACCGCTTATATATATATATATATATATATATATATATATATATATATATATATATATATATATATATATATATATATATATATATATATATATATATATATATATATATGGTTTACTAAACTTTCATTGTTTACTGAATGTTTCTGGCTCTGGTTATAAAAAACTTATAGATAAATTAATATTATGTAATACTTTCCAATCCTTCAATAGTTACTTATTTGTAAATACTTCTATGTAACTGGAAAAAATATCACAAACATAACACTAATGAATACATCTTACATATCTAAATATACTACTACTATTACTACTTCGTCTTCGGAGTAAAAATATATACAATAAAATAAAATTACAATAAGTTAAAAATAGAAATGAATATTACTGAAGTAACAGAGAATTCCTCTGTCCAGCACCATTTGATATTCAAACATTTTCTTAGTATATATCATGAGTTAATTAAAGCTAGATCATCATAGAAAACCTGGAAAACCTAGTTTTAATTGACTTATGAATTCAACTATTATAAACATTATTATCATATTCACAAAACATCTATTCTGAAATAAATATTCTATCATATTCATTCATTACTATTTATCAGTGAAAGTTATGTTTTTTTTTGTTTTCTTCATTATAAAATGAATTTTGTTGTTTTGTTTTGTTTTTGGGGGGGGATTTAAAACTATTTCAATAAGGAAAAATCAAATTAAACAAATCTATAAACTATTATGACGGATATAGGAAAGAGAAATGATTCCTTGTCAAAAATCTCCAATAAATTAAAGAAATAAAAACCCATAGACTGGACGAAAAACAACCATACCAACAACAACAACAAAATTTGAAGATAGTTTTCATTGCAAATATACATTTATTGTAGAAAAATAAAGGGGTAAATGAGTTTCAACACCTACTTATTCAAGTTATAAAAATCTTGAAAACAAAAACAGTATTGAGAAAGTATTTCCACAAAAGATTAATTGATGAGACTATAATTTATGGACGACTTTTGAGCGGTGCTAAATTGACCTTGACAGTGTCCACCGAATAACTAGAACCAAATGATGGTTATAAACCAGTGTGAGAAATTAGAATTATGATTTACAATAGATGGTTAAGATTAACAACTAGATTTAAAGTTTTCATCATGAACTGACATCAGTTATAATACCATGAATCTATTTAGCCAAATAAATGGATGAATTTTACACTAAAATCCAAGACCTATCATTTTATACCTGATTGATTTGTTCATAAATGATAGTCTCACCGATTCATTCACTTAGAAACAAAATAACTACATTTAATCTTAAAGAAAAACAACAACAACAACAACAAAATACATATAATAATAATGATAATAACATTTATAACTTACCCATCTAGAATATGGATGATAATATTTCATTGATATATTATATCTTGATCCTAAACTCTCTTCATAATTAAATAAAATTAAATTGATTAATAGAAAACTAATTTTTCTCAATTTAAATAAACTCCAAAATGAATTAGATAATTCAATGAATTGCATGAAATTGAATTATTGATACCTTTTTTTGTAGTTGCTACATGAAAAGATCTAAATACATTTTTTTTATTAATTAATTATGAATATTAATAATAGTTAAAATGATAATAGAATTAGTTCGTTTGTCTTTTTTTTCTGTCTTGTTTTTCTTTTTTCTTTATTTGTTGTTGTTTTTTTTGTTTTTTTTTGTTTTGAAAATTGAAACTATGTAAAGTTTTATATTGAATATATTACTTGATAATCACTATGCGAAAAAATGATGTGATATTCATTATATCTATAGTATAAATTGACTTCATTTTGTTTAAAACAAAACATATATATATATATGTATTTATTTATATGATAAAGTTGACAACTATATCAGTTAAATGAATTTCAATTGTACTATACTACTCGTATATTCAGTGTTATGATATTTAAGATGAAATTTTAATATTGATGAAAAGTTAATTAATAATTAACCAGTTATGAACCAATCATTTATGAATAATAATAATAATAAGATGGATTACGATACATTACATATATACAATCCCATAATGTTTTACATTTGACAACCACATTATATATGTATACATATACATATTATATAAGGGTAAAGATGGAAAATGATAAGAAATATATACATACATTAAATTCACTGGATAGATAGATAGATAGATAAATATAAACAAAATAAGTTTATTATAGGTAGTTTAGATTTTACTAGAAATTGACCTGTTTAATGACAAAATGTATCACGTGATTATCAAATCTGTACAATGTGAAAGGATAAATACAATTTAGACGAATTTGTAATAATGTTATCACTATGCAATTAATTGTGGTTTCTTCCTTCTCTTTCAAGGAAGCATTTCAAAGAAAACTAATCTATGGAAGATTAGTGGTTTAAGATTGTATAACTAAAAGTTTTATGATTTCATTTTATTTTCAATATTTATGACTATCAGTGATATTTTAAAAATAATTAAATTAGTTCTATTTTTTGAGCAATTCAAGAATGATAATATTCGCAAAATATGGTGAATACACTATATTTTGTAATGACTGTGCTTCGTTAACTAATCACCCTCGTAACCGTTACCATATAATCCTCAACGGTGTTTGAAATCAAAAGTCAAAGAGAAGCACCGACTACAGTTTTATTAGCAGATAACTCTGACCACAAAGCAGTGAGGCGAATGAGTGAGTCAGCGAACCGAGAGAGTAATGTTAAATGTACATGTATATATATAGGGAAATGAATAGATCATCGAATCAATTAAGCAGTCAATAATAAAGCTAGCAGAATGAATATATGTGTGGGCGGTAAACAATGTTGGAGCCATACATATTTCATACAAGCATAACAATAAGTACAATAATTTGTTATAGTACGGATGACTTTGTCCGCTAAATAAGTTAACAAAAGGGCTTAACTGAGTTAAATGAGAACAAACTCAATTGCACTTGAGTTGCTGTAATTTCATTGCTTTCTCTTCAACTATACTCAAGCTGAAAAATTTCTCTCAGATTTGAAAATTGGTGATAACAAATGGGTTGTTTGGATTTAGTTTTTTTTAACCGGTTTTCAGTAATTGTTTGGAGTAATATTTTACCTTATATTATTGAATAATATAACAAATATTCTATAAAGATAAACAGGTCAGATATATTTAACTCACTAAACTGTAACTACAATTAATTGGAAAAATAGTAGAAGATAAAGAAGAAGAAGAAGAAGGGATCAATTGCTTAACTTCTCTTTGTTACCAAGACAGTTATGGATTAACCACAGACGCTTTTTGAATACAATGATAAGGTTTATATTAGTTCTCTTCAGTGATAATGTGCATGACATCAAAATGTATACTGAAGTATATCACAGCAAAAATGTAAACGGTACTTTTTATAAAATAAATTCAGATAGTTTAATAAAACCTGAAGATTTTATACTTTCATAATACATTGGTCATTATGTTCATGTAATTAAAAATTCGAGTCCCACTTGAAGGATCGTAGATGAGCACTGTTGAGGAGTACCATACTAGGACGAAACAGCCTATCTTAGATGAACTCATGGATTCAACTGTTAAAATAGAAGTAATTAGTCATTGGTTTTATATGGAAATATGTCCAAATAACTTTATTAATCATAAATCATTTTAATTTTAAATATTATTAGCTTTAATTTAAAATAACGTATTATTGTTTATTCTTACAGTCTATTTTTTACTTCTCTAGTAAAATAATAAAAAATGGTAATAGCTAAAGCATTATTGTACACTCCCCTCAAGCTGATGGTAAACGTCTAAACTGCCTTAAAACCACGATACATACATTGATATAAGGTTAATATCTAATCGGAATAGGATATTTGTCCGTGAATTCGTAGTGCATCTGCTTCACATCGTTCAATGAATGTACAACTTCTAACATCGTCCTGTTCAATTAATTAGTAAATACTGTATAAGAAAACGCAATTCTCAAAGATAGAATTTCAAGCTCTAAATTTCATGTTTTTTGCTTTTCATCATTTAGCAAGTTGCTATGCACTGTAGTGTGCTCATAGAAGATAAATGTAGATGACATTAAATAATTAAAATGAAGTTTCTAGTAAAAAGTAAACTGATATTAGCATCTATGATGCACTGAAAATGTTAGATATCACACTTTTATCAATGTTAAAAGTTAGGGTAAGTAGTTATGGTTAGAACTTTCATCAGGAACTGACATCAGTTATGATGCATTTACCCTAAACTTGATATTTCTATTTGAAGTCTTAATACAGTAAATCACAGATCTATGTTCCCTTCCTCCTAATTGGTTAAAGAGGTCAGGATCTAAAGGTCGTTAGGCGATAAACACGGCCTCACTGAAAAAATAACATAGATGTGTTTACAAATAAACTGATACAATTTTCATGGTCAACGACTTGTCCAATAATTTTAATTAATAAATAAGAATCTCGTATAGTCCATGGTGTATAATGAACATGAAATTATGTATATGTAGTGAGAAGCTCGTTTTCGTTGATCTTGATCATAAAGTTGTATAATTATAATTTTATCTATGTTTTTCCACCTATAAAGACTAAAGTCTATTTCAGTAGACTATTCCTATAAAACATCAACTGTAAACACAGTGCATAGAATATTCTGACTCAGAGGTACAAAGAATCTCTGAATAAACTAATAACAATTAAAAACCTAGTGCCTACTAAACGTGACAAAGGATCAGGATAAAACAGTCTACATAAATAAAATGAATACAATACCCAGAAACCAGAGCAAATCTCATTAATCGTCTTCTAAGAAAGACCCCAAGGAAAAAACGGAACGACAGTTGTCTTAATCATTAAATGATCTGAAACAAATTTATATACAATACTTAAACACACTGGTACGGCAACATCGAGATTTTATGGTCAACTGAAAGTACTAGAAAATGGTTTAGCGCTTCACTCAGTCCTAGATATGATCAACTCACCTTACTATGCAACCACAAAATAGTTCGTTGAACTTCTTAAGCCTCCACACGAAGTCGTAAAGCATAGTGAAAAAGGTAGTTTTGGATTTGTTGGTAGAATAAGAGACATGAAGACGAACAAGAAATTCATCATATCGCTTGATGTATCATCATTTACAAACGTGCATATCATAGAAACAGTTGATTTCATATGTAGTGAGTTACAAAATCGAGAAGTGGAAATCGGCATTCCGGTCTCCTCTTTAAAGTAATCAATACTCAAATGTAATATCAATAAACATTTGTTATTCACTAAAGAGCTCTACAGACAATGCGACGGTGTCGCTATGGGATTAACATCCGGTCTAGTACTCGCTCATTTCATTCTGGAAAAATTATAAAACGATCCTCTAAAAAGAGTAATAGGGAAACCAGAATTTTATTGTGGCTTTGTAAATGATACATTTATATTTACAAAAAACAACACTAAAGCTCACAGCCTTCCAGAAACATTTAATAGAGTCTACCAAGCAATTGCAACAATGGGAGAGCAAACGTACGACACCACATCCTTTCTAGATGTCCTATTGACGAGAAAATCGATGAACCCATAAGAAAAGGTGTTCATCGTAAACCGACCACATAAATCTTATGTACACATTTTTCTAGCTCTGTCCTATTACAATATAAAAGAAACTTAGTCAAATGTCCGGCCCACAGAGCCAAAATTATTTGTTCTGAGGATTTTCTTGGACAGGAACTAAAACCTATTCAGGATTTATTACGTAAGCAAAGATACCCATCAAAGTTCTTAACGAAACGTACGTCTGTAAATAAACCTAAAGTAAAATCGTTGACAGTACCAAAAAAAGCGTATATTTATGAAATCGCAGTTCAAAGGTGATATATCCAGCAAAATAATAACTCAGTTCATACAAAAGGCCTTAGAATTTACATTCAGTGCGGCTTGATTATATCCTACTTTCTTCAACCAGCCAACAGTGATTTCATGAAATAAAGATGAATGGCCTAGTTCTTCTGCTTCTATGTATATTTACAGTTTCAACTTCTACCGTGAAGTGTAACTAGACAAATGCATCATCATATGTCTCGACATCGTCCTTCGTGGTTGACAAGAGGACGAAAGAATGTAATAAGGAGCTCTATCTTGGCGCATCAAGTCAATACTCGTCACCAAATTGATAGAAATTCAGAGTTCAAAGGCATTTATAAAATCTTACCGAATTTACCCTATGGTTCCAGAATCTGACTCTCGCATGTCGCAGAAGCTATAGGTATACATATCAAAAACCTAACCTTTGTATATAGAAAAAGCTTATAGAGCCTTTAAATCTACCCTTGCTTTCTACTAAGATACCTTTACATGTTTCAAAACCTTTCTTTTCCTTCTCTTAAAACATTTTCCAAACCCCAATTCCCTCAACATTATAATTTATAATTCTAACCTTACGTGACGTATTTATCAATCACATTATCTGATTTTCACTTCACCCATCCTACTAATTACTTTTCAGCAATTTCACAGATAACCAAATACATTTTAATTATATAACTATTTGTAATGAAAAACTGATTACGAAAATTCACTTTGTAATTTCCAAAACTCCATGTAACTGATGATTATTTTGTTAAACTGACTCACCAGCATCTAACTGGTAATGACTTTTTACTCACTTATAAAACATATATTTTATTGTAGAGACTTGTTGAAGAAGTAACTGA